GATTTCTCTGACAGGTTCTCTTATAAAGAATATCCATACCGGAAATAGGGTCAGAGGGTCAGAGGTCACAGTAAGGGGCCTATCAGCTGGCTGATCTTACACACTGCCTTCCAGCTCAGGCAAGTGATGGGGCAGGAGATGACCTCTGACCCCCAAATAAAGAGGGGCAATATAAATCATGTTAGCCTGGACAGTGACCACCGAGGTCAATGCCAATCAACCTACCAGGAGGACCCCCCCAATCATTGTGGAAAACATACAATGTCTACCCTGCTGGGAGGTGAGCTGAGGAACCGAGTGCAGCAAGGAAAGCATAAGAAGATAAGTAATAGGTCCACCTGCGCTGCTAAGGTGACAATCCTTAAATGGCTAGCATGCCCGCTCACCTTCCCCCTGCGACCCATGCTATTATTATTACCCATACATGTTATGTGCAATTAAGCCATGGCAACATCTAATGTTTGTGTAGTATTATGTTCAGCAGACTGTGTTCTTCTATTGTTGTGACTTAGATAACGTTCAGAGCACATTTTATGCCCAATTCATGCAAAACTCCACGTAATCCCAAGGGGTTCACATACTTTTTCTTGCAACTGTATGTTCTACAAACCCAAGCCCCAAAAGGGTTGAATGTGGAATTTGATCTGAACTGTTTTATTAGCGATTTTTAATTGTTTTTATTTTATATTGATATGCTTTGATAAGTACATCCCTCATGGGCATACTGTGCCAGTCTGGTAATTCCGTTTTTTATCGTCGTGCGTTTTTACGCTTTTCTAGTAAAAAGACTTTATTTTTTATATTATATTAATAAAATTGTCATTTTATGTATTTTTTAATGATATTACAAATTTTTAAATCAAACAGTTACGACAGTTATATTTGGCTTATCACCAAGGAATGGCAGCATCACACACCAAGGTAAAGAGTAGATTGAATTAATCTATTATTAATAAAGATACTATTTTGGGCATATAGGACTATAATAAGGACCTTTTACCGGTTAGAATACGATAATTAACATCTTAAGGGTTATTCCATTTAGCAGTCACGTTGGGTTGCGGCAGTGAATTAAGTAACCATAGTATAGAAATGGAAAACTATAAGAAAATGGCTGCGGTATAATGTCCCTTAATATCGCGACTTCGACAAAATGGCCGTGATGATTGACATAACTACCGACAAATGGACAACAAGATCCCGCTATAAATACCAGGGGAAATGACCATGACACTATCCTGACGAAGCTACGAGGGGCGTGGCGTAACGCGTAGATGTGACGTAGTGACGTGGTGACGCACTTCCGGGTTGGCGCCATCTTGCTACACCAGAGTGCCTCAGTACACCCATGAGAGGTGTTACAAGCGATTTTTTCATCTGCTGAAATGTGAGTTGTGACTTGGCGTTTTTTAAGGAATAAACGTGATATACAGTGTTACACTATGGAGGATCTTTGTGTTTTTGTTCCATGATTATCACCATCCTAGGAGCTTTTTGAATACACGTACAGCGGTACCTATTCAAGGGGAATAGCAGATGGTGAAGGAGAGAGTACTGGAGAGTGAAGATTGTGTTGCACCTGGAGATAACGCATAGGGTCAAGGTGTGACCCGGCAGGCTTTTTGGCCCCTGTGGGTCGCAGGGGGAAGGTGAGCGGGGCATGCTAGCCATTTAAGGATTGTCACCTACCACTTTGCACCAGCACAGAAGCATGTGTGTCCTCTAAGAACTGATTTATTCATCTATATATACTGTGGACTGCATTTATATCTACAAACAGCAATTATATATTATAGAGGGAATTACTGTGTGCCGTGTTTTTGCGGGCTGTATAACACCGTATTCACTTTCTTCTCACGGTTGAAATCCACTCTATTGTTAATTATATCAGCGCTGCATCACTATTGATTATTAGCAAGGAAAGCATGCTAACCACGAAGCCAGAGACACCAAGGACACACCACGGAGACACCAAGGACACACCATGGAGACACCACGGAGACACCAAGGACACACCACGGAGACACCACGGAGACACCAAGGACACACCACGGAGACACCACGGAGACATGGGCTGAAGGCATTCTCCGCCAACCTTTTATATATAGAGCTGGAGATTCTATTTTTGAAGAGTCAGGAAGATCTGGTGTGACTTGGTGAAGGCGATAGTCGGGGAAGTTGTGTGAAATGAGGAAGTGGCCGGAGAGTGTCACATGGAACTTCCTCTTCGTGAGCTGCAGGAAATAGTGAAGGGAATTTCTTCACATTCTTTACTGGTAGAACATTTCTGGAAAGCTGAACTGATGAAACTGAGTTACAGGACACCACAAGATCTCCCAACCATGAATGACACAGGTCACCGACCCCCCCATCCCAGGACACCACGTGATCTCCCAACCATGAATGACACAGGTCACCGACCCCCCATCCCAGGACACCACGTGATCTCCCAACCATGAATGACACAGGTCACCGACCCCCCATCCCAGGACACCACAAGATCTCCCAACCATGAATGACACAGGTCACCGACCCCCCATCCCAGGACACCACGTGATCTCCCAACCATGAATGACACAGGTCACCGACCCCCCATCCCAGGACACCACATGATCTCCCAACCATGAATGACACAGGTCACCGACCCCCCATCCCAGGACACCACAAGATCTCCCAACCATGAATGACACAGGTCACCGACCCCCCATCCCAGGACACCACGTGATCTCCCAACCATGAATGACACAGGTTCACCGACCCCCCATCCCAGGACACCACGTTCTCCCAACCATGAATGACACAGGTCACCCCCCCCCATCCCAGGACACCACGTAATCTCCCAACCATGAATGACACAGGTCACCGACCCCCCATCCCAGGACACCACAAGATCTCCCAACCATGAATGACACAGGTCACCGACCCCCCATCCCAGGACACCACAAGATCTCCCAACCATGAATGACACAGGTCACCGACCCCCCATCCCAGGACACCACAAGATCTCCCAACCATGAATGACACAGGTCACCGACCCCCCATCCCAGGACACCACGTGATCTCCCAACCATGAATGACACAGGTCACCGACCCCCCATCCCAGGACACCACTCCTAACCATGATCTCCCAACCCCCCATCCATGAATGACACAGGTCACCGACCCCCCATCCCAGGACACCACAAGATCTCCCAACCATGAATGACACAGGTCACCGACCCCCCATCCCAGGACACCACAAGATCTCCCAACCATGAAGGACACAGGTCACCGACCCCCCATCCCAGGACACCACGTGATCTCCCAACCATGAATGACACAGGTCACCGACCCCCCATCCCAGGACACCACAAGATCTCCCAACCATGAATGACACAGGTCACTGACCCCCCATCCCAGGACACCACAAGATCTCCCAACCATGAATGACACAGGTCACTGACCCCCCATCCCAGGACACCACAAGATCTCCCAACCATGAATGACACAGGTCACCGACCCCCCATCCCAGGACACCACAAGATCTCCCAACCATGAATGACACAGGTCACTGACCCCCCATCCCAGGACACCACAAGATCTCCCAACCATGAATGACACAGGTCACCGACCCCCCATCCCAGGACACCACAAGATCTCCCAACCATGAAGGACACAGGTCACCGACCCCCCATCCCAGGACACCACGTGATCTCCCAACCATGAATGACACAGGTCACCGACCCCCCATCCCAGGACACCACAAGATCTCCCAACCATGAATGACACAGGTCACCGACCCCCCATCCCAGGACACCACGTGATCTCCTAACCATGAATGACACAGGTCACCGACCCCCCATCCCAGGACACCACGTGATCTCCTAACCATGAACGACACAGTTCACCGACCCCCCATCCCAGGACACCACAAGATCTCCTAACCATGAACGACACAGTTCACCGACCCCCCATCCCAGGACACCACAAGATCTCCCAACCATGAATGACACAGTTCACCGACCCCCCATCACGGGACACCACGTGATCTCCCAACCATGAATGACACAGGTCACCGACCCCCCATCCCAGGACACCACGTGATCTCCCAACCATGAATGACACAGGTCACCGACCCCCCATCCCAGGACACCACAAGATCTCCCAACCATGAATGACACAGTTCACCAACCCCCCATCCCAGGACACCACAAGATCTCCTAACCATGAACGACACAGTTCACCGACCCCCCCCATCCCAGGACACCACGATCTACCAACCATGAATGGCACAGGTCACCGACCCCCCATCCCAGGACACCACGTGATCTCCCGACCATGAATGACACAGCTCACCGACCCCCCATCCCAGGACACCACAAGAGCTCCCAACCATGAACGACACAGTTCACTGACCCCCCATCCCAGGACACCACAAGATCTCCCAACCATGAACGACACAGGTCACCGACCCCCTATCCCAGGACACCACGTGATCTCCCAACCATGAATGACACAGGTCACCGACCCCCCATCCCAGGACACCACAAGATCTCCCAACCATGAATGACACAGGTCACCGACCCCCCATCCCAGGACACCACGTGATCCCCCAACCATGAACGACACAGTTCACTGACCCCCCATCCCAGGACACCACAAGATCTCCCAACCATGAATGACACAGTTCACCGACCCCCCATCCCAGGACACCACGTGATCTCCCAACCATGAATGACACAGGTCACCGACCCCCCATCCCAGGACACCACGTGATCTCCCAACCATGAACGACACAGGTCACCGACCCCCCATCCCAGGACACCACAAGATCTCCCAACCATGAACGACACAGTTCAGCGACCCCCCATCCCAGGACACCACAAGATCTCCCAACCATGAATGACACAGTTCACCGACCCCCCATCCCAGGACACCACGTGATCTCCCAACCATGAATGACACAGGTCACCGACCCCCCATCCCAGGACACCACGTGATCTCCCAACCATGAACGACACAGGTCACCGACCCCCCCATCCCAGGACACCACAAGATCTCCCAACCATGAACGACACAGTTCAGCGACCCCCCATCCCAGGACACCACAAGATCTCCTAACCATGAACGACACAGTTCACCGACCCCCCATCCCAGGACACCACGTGATCCCCCAACCATGAACGACACAGTTCACTGACCCCCCATCCCAGGACACCACAAGATCTCCCAACCATGAATGACACAGTTCATTGACCCCCCATCCCAGGACACCATGTGATCTCCCAACCATAAACGACACAGTTCACCGACCCCCCATCCCAGGACACCATGAGATCTCCGAACCAAGAATGACACAGTTCATCGACCCCCCATCCCAGGACACCACGAGATCTCCCAACCATAACGACACAGTTCACCGACCCCCCATCCCAGGACACCATGAGATCTCCCAACCATGAATGACACAGTTCATCGACCCCCCATCCCAGGACACCACAAGATCTCCCAACCATGAACGACACAGGTCACCGACCCCCCCATCCCAGGACACCATGTGATCTCCCAACCATGAATGACACAGGTCACCGACCCCCCATCCCAGGACACCACGAGATCTCCCAACCATGAATGACCACAAGATCTCCCAACCATGAACGACACAGTTCATCGACCCCCCATCCCAGGACACCACAAGATCTCCCAACCATGAACGACACAGGTCATTAACCCCCCCATCCCAGGACACCACGTGATCCCCAAACCATAAACGACACAGTTCACTGACACCCCATCCCAGGACACCACAAGATCTCCCAACCATGAATGACACAGTTCACCAACCCCCCATCCCAGGACACCACAAGATCTCCCAACCATGAACGACACAGGTTACCGACCCCCCATCATCCCAGGACACCACGTGATCTCCCAACCATGAATGACAGAGTTCACCGACGCCCCATCCCAGGACACCACGTGATCTCCCAACCATGAATGACACAGTTCACTGACCCCTCATCCCAGGACACCACGTGATCTCCCAACCATGAATGACACAGGTCACCGACCCCCCCCATCCCAGGACACCACAAGAGCTCCCAACCATGAATGACACAGGTCATCGAACCCCCATCCCAGGACACCACAAGATCTCCCAACCATGAATGACACAGTTCACCGACCCCCCATCCCAGGACACCATGTGATCTCCTAACCATGAATGACACTGTTCACCGACCCCCCATCCCAGGACACCATGTGATCTCCGAACCATGAATGACACAGTTCACCAACCCTAGTGTGAGTGTTACAGAGAGGGGTAGTGTGAGTGTTTGGGTCAGAGCCAGGCTAAGGGGTAGGATTGCAGGGACTCGTAGTGTTGGGATTACTGAGATGGTTAGTGTTGTCAATGTCATTGCCCAAGTACAGCCAGCGGCCATATTTGGTACAGTAACATCACTGCTATCCCTGCCTCGGATTTCGTGGGTGCAAGCATCTGCAGCTTCCTTGGAAACCACTAATAGCAGGAAGCCGTCATATGTGGAAGTGGTAGAAATACTGCTTACTGTATATAATATCGGGCATTTGTCTGAATGCCAGAACAACAAAGTTCAATTCTAGGTTGGACTTGAACCATTGGTTCGTCTCGAATCTGGAGACCACAGATTATCCAGCAGTATAAGCCTGGCCAGCAGCAGGGCAGTATTTATGAGGGATAATAGGCCTAACACGTGTACGCCTGACCATTGCTGATCTGGTCAGATTTCTAATCTCGAACCACAGGACTTTTCTCCAACTCACGGCAGTGGCAATCCCAAACCTCATCCCTATAGCGGGTCGGGCAGGGACGTGTGTTGGCTGTAGTGTGCATCCTTCTCCTTGGTTTTTGAGGTGTGACTGACGGACAGTGTTGGGTGGTAGTTCAAAAGTTTGCCTTAGGACAAGTAGCTGTTTTGTTTTTTATTATTATGGGGGGATATGAGTACTTTATTATCGTATGTGGCGATTCTACAACTCCAACCAACAGACGATTACAACAATAATAATTTAAAAATGGTACTAGGAGACATCTAGTCTACTCAGTACTCGGTGGACATGGATTGATGTCCCGCAGATATGACCATTTACTCCTGTTATGGCTGGCTCGGCCATACGACAACAAGGCATACAGGGACCTGCCATCTTCAACCCCCCCACAACCACTTGGTTGCTGCCATTGCCCCACTTCTCTGTGGTGACAACCTGCAAATGACCACCACCGGCACTTTCACCTCCAGGTCCTGGACGATTCTATGAATCTAATAAGTCAAAGATGTTGAGAACGTGGAAGTTCTATATTGTTACCAACTATTCTTATCAAGTCTTTTTAGACGTTGTACTGTAATCTACTATATGAACATCGGCTTTATCAGAATGCATGTTCCAGAGTCTGTACACCCAACCTGATGGATTGAGGGGGGTGGGGAGGGTAAAATCTTCTTCAAACTCTGATTTCCCAGCTACCAGCTGAAGCCGTTGTGCTGGAGTCTTCTGTCATTGAAGGTTTGGGCGTTCCCCATTGTTTAAATTACATTGACTTCTACAAGAGGAGTAAGACTCTGCAATATTTAGGGGAGATCTTGCTGTTGGTGTGCCCTATCATTGTGAAGAAGCCAGTTGGTTGTCCAGCCCCCCGCCTATTCAAGATATTGGTTTTAGGGAGACTTATCCTTGCCAGATATGTTCGATGTTGAAGTTTCGTACATCTGACTTCATTCTTTCTTTTCCAGGTTGCTGAGATTGGACACAACGAAAACAATGCAGAGCATCAAGTGTGTGGTAGTCGGGGATGGAGCTGTAGGGAAAACTTGTCTTCTCATCTGTTACACCACCAATGCTTTCCCCAAGGAATACATCCCCACAGTGTTTGACAACTACAGTGCCCAGAGCACAGTGGATGGAAAAACCGTGAGCCTAAACTTGTGGGACACAGCCGGCCAGGAAGAGTATGACCGACTAAGGACATTGTCTTACCCCCAGACCAATGTCTTCATCATCTGCTTCTCCATTGCCAGTCCACCATCTTACGAGAACGTAAAGCACAAGTGGTATCCTGAAGTGGGCCACCATTGTCCTAACGTTCCCATCCTCCTGGTGGGCACCAAGAAGGATCTGAGAAGCAACCCGGATGTCATCAAAAAGCTAAAGGAGCAGAACCAGCTTCCAATCACCTACCAACAAGGCGTCAGCTTGTCCAAGCAGATCCACGCAGTGAAGTACATGGAGTGCTCAGCGCTGAACCAAGAAGGCATCAAAGAGGTTTTCTCAGAGTCAGTGAGAGCCGTCCTCAACCCGAATCCAGTTAAAAAGAAGAGTCCATGCTTCTTACTGTGAAAAGAAGATGCCTCCAAGATGATGATAATCTCGTCACTGTGACCTCCTTCTGTTGATCTCAGATCACGTGACTTTGTCCTGAAGAACCACAGCCTAAGTAGACCTCAAAGACCAACATTACAGACTCTTCTATGTGTTCCTTACGTAAGATGTTCAGTAGACCAAAGAAGCCCCTGATGGAGGCTAATATTTCAGACACCTCCAGCAATGAATTCAATGATTTTGTCTATTCCTCTGTCGGGTACAACATTTTGCACCTCAGATCATTCCTGGAATATGAGAAGATGTCTCATGCTTTGTGTTGACACCACCTGATATTTTTTGAAGTGAAAAACACAACTATGCAAATTCTTCTTACATGATGAGATATTTTAATCACAATGCCGCATTTTTAAATTTTTTTCATCATAATCGTGTCTTCTTTTTAATTTTTTTTTTCTGCTTCTTGAAGAACCAGCAGCCGTATTACAATATGTGAAGCTTGAAGATGCGGATGAACTCTTGCTTGGCGCTATTTGCATCTAAACTGGCCAGATAATGTCATTCCAATGCAAAAAAAAAAACCAACCTGTGAAAAACTGCAATTTTGGGGTCCCTATGGCTCTAACAGTGAATCCCCATGAGGAATAATTTTAACATCAGAGTTTTTGTGTGGCCACCACCTGTGTACAGCAAGTCATAAGTGGTCAGGTCTGAAGGAGACCATTTATGAGCTTCTCCTCTGATTCTGCAACTCCTGGTATAACACAGAATTGTCACCCTTGGTATCCCCCCATCATGCCTCTTTCTGAGTTCCTCCTCAGTCTGATAAGGTTAGAAGGCACAAAAGTGACTTTCTTCTGCTTTCACGTTATATTATGCCCCACAAATATTGGGATGAAGAGGACTCCAGAAAGCCACGTCCGATGGACGCCGAAGACACAGGATTTCATGGAACAGCAGCTCCTAGCTGCTTCCTGCGTGTGAACTTCCCAGTGTCACTGGCCTGGAGCTCGGCTGTCTATGGAGGTGACGTAAGGGTGCACAGATGAAGTGTCCTTACCCCCGGGGACAAGGCAGGAAGAGCCTCACTCTGGAATGTTGGTGGCTTCCTCAGCTAAAGAAAATGAAACCAAATTAGTAACTGGCTATAACTTCAATAGTTATTTTAACATCTCCACGAATAAAGTATCCATAGGAGTCCTTCTCTAAAGTGAACCTGCCATTGGTAGAGAGCTAACGAGCCACAATAAATGTCCAGTAGGCCACGTGCCCACAATTTTTATACGGCACGCGAACTATAGAGAGGTGCTTGTTTTGAAGGACACAGGAAAGGGGTGGAGGGGTGCCACAGCTCCGACTTAGAAATGTACATACTGTGCCGAATTTCAGGGTGTTTAGGGGGTCACACTGAAGAGGTACTAACCACAGATTCAGGTACTCTGTTCCAACACGTCTGCACTATAGAGACCGGACATTTCCCAACCGGTGCCAAATACTCTATAGGTGACAGTGATCCCAGATTATCCATTTGGTCTTGGATCATGTTTGAAGATCCAAAGTAGAGCGATGAAGGACTTCTTCCATCGTCGGCTATCAATACAGCTGGTGCCCAACAGTCAGAGTAGCTTGTGTGACCATACACGGGGCTCTACGAGGAGTTAGCAGGCACTCTCCAAGTCAACAAAAAACTGAAATATCATCATAGTTCTCTTGTAGGCATTCAAGATGACACAACAGAAGAATTGACTAGGTCATAAATATGGAGTACATAAATCAATGCCAATTCTTTGTGCACCAATGAAGACAAGTGGATACTGGAGAAAAAGAAGAGCAGTGACTTCTTCACGGCCATAAAAGTGTCATCAGATAAAGGATATTTAACTGATAAGCCACATTACCCACCATATGATAAACTCTTCCAGCTTCTTGCCAGAAATGAACACTTATAAACTTCTCATAGAACCCCCAAGGAATCCTCATGGAACTTTCATAAAACTTTCAGTGAACCCTTATGGAATCATTGTGGAACCCTCAGAAAAACCTCCTGGAATCCGTTTGGAGCTCTTATAAAACCCTCATTAAATCTTTGAGAAACTTTCACTAAACCCTCATTGAATCATTATGAAGCCCTCAAAAAACCCTATTGAAATCCTTGTGGAACCCTCATAAAACCTTCAAAGTGCCCTCATAGAATCTTTGTGGAAGTCTCAAAGAAGGGCTGTGGACCTCATTAGATCCTCATGAAACCCTCGTGCAACCCTCATGGATCCCCCATGGAGTCCTCATGAAATCCTCATGGATCCCCTCTGAACCCCTTATGGAGTCCTCATGAAACCCTCATGGATCTCCTGTGAAACCCTTTTGGAGTCCTCATGGATTGTTCATGTTTCTTGGCCTAGTTTGCCAAATCTTTATATTTTATGTCATATATCAGACCACAGGAACACAGTATATCTGTTTGCTAAACCTTGTAGAACACAAACATCTCTTTCTGGCCAGTATGTATATTTTTATAGATCTGTGTAAGTGAGGTATCAGTAGTGTACTTGGATAGATGCATCAAGGTGCCCATAGTTGCAAGATTTTCTATGGACTGATGGTGACATACGCAATCCACATCCGTCAAGCATACTGGTTTACACATCGTAGACACCCCCATGGCCAGCTTAGTTCTGGGGAACCAAAGAAACATTCCTGCGTAGCCAGGGGGTGTCTGGACAGATTGGGGTGGCCCATAGTCTACATAGTATATAGGCCCATAGTCAAGGGCTACTAGTCCTTTCCTGATATGACTGGTGACAAGATTGGTCCACAGTCGTCTTATATCTATGGGCACATTGAGAAGACAATTAGAACAGAAGATGTATGGAAGGAAGGTCTGAGAGCAGAAGATGTATGGAAGGAAGGTCTGAGAGCAGAAGATGTATGCAAGGAAGGTCTCAGAGCAGAAGATGTATGGAAGGAAGGTCTCAGTGCAGCAGATGTATGGAAAGAAGGTCTCAGAGCAGAAGATGTATGGAAGGCAGGTCTTAGAGCAGAAGATGTATGGAAGGAAGGTCTCAGAGCAGAAGATGTATGGAAGGAAGGTCTCAGAGCAGCAGATGTATGGAAGGAAGGTCTCAGAGCAGCAGATGTATGGAAGGCAGGTCTAAGAGCAGAAGATGTATGCAAGGCAGGTCTAAGAGCAGAAGATGTATGGAAGGAAGGTCTCAGAGCAGAAGATGTATGGAAGGAAGGTCTGAGAGCAGCAGATGTATGGAAGGAAGGTCTGAGAGCAGCAGATGTATGGAAGGAAGGTCTCAGAGCAGAAGATGTATGGAAGGAAGGTCTCAGAGCAGCAGATGTATGGAAGGAAGGTCTCAGAGCAGAAGATGTATGGAAGGAAGGTCTCAGAGCAGCAGATGTATGGAAGGAAGGTCTCAGAGCAGAAGATGTATGGAAGGAAGGTCTCAGAGCAGAAGATGTATGGAAGGAAGGTCTCAGAGCAGAAGATGTATGGAAGGAAGGTCTCAGAGCAGAAGATGTATGGAAGGAAGTCTCAGAGCAGAAGATGTATGGAAGGAAGGTCTCAGAGCAGAAGATGTATGGAAGGAAGGTCTCAGAGCAGAAGATGTATGGAAGGAAGGTCTCAGAGCAGCAGATGTATGGAAGGAAGGTCTCAGAGCAGCAGATGAAAGAAGTTCAATATTTTATCTACTCAACCATCAGTATCTAACTCAGGGTTCCATGGTTTGTGTCCCGTCAGTACTCAGATCGCTGTGTTCCTGGTATACGCCTCGTAGCCGCTGTTTTCTCTATCAATATTTCTTAATAAAGAATATTATATTTATCGTTGTGTCTCTGAAGTCACACTAAATAAAGAACCACCCTTTTATAGAATAGATTATGGGTACGAGCTCTGATCTCCAGGCAAAAAATCCAATTCTACTCATGAAGTATTTATTAATTGGTGATCGGTCTGATGACTGTGCCAGTATCTGGAGCCATGACCTGTGACCAGCATGATGGCTGTGCCAGTATCTGGAGCCATGACTGGTGATCAGTCTGATGACTGTGCCAGTATCTGGAGCCATGACTGGTGATCAGTCTGATGACTGTGCCAGTATCTGGAGCCATTACCGGTGACCAGCATGATGGCTGTGCCAGTATCTGCAGCCATGACTGGTGATCGGTCTGATGACTGTGCCAGTATCTGGAACCATGACTGGTGATCGGTCTGATGACTGTGAGAGTATCTGGAGCCATGACTGGTGACCAGCATGATGGCTGTGCAGGTATCTGGAGCCATGACCCGTGACCAGCATGATGGCTGTGCCAATATCTGGAACCATGACTGGTGATCGGTCTGATGACTGTGCCAGTATCTGGAGCCATGACTGGTGATCAGTCTGATGACTGTGCCAGTATGTGGAGCCATTACCGGTGACCAGCATGATGGCTGTGCCGGTATCTGGAGCCATGACTGGTAATCAGTATGATGACTGTGCCGGTATCTGGAGCCATGACTGGTGATCGGTCTGATGACTGTGCCAGTATCTGGAGCCATTACTGGTGATCGGTCTGATGAATGTGCCGGTATCTGGAGCCATGACTGGTGACCAGCATGATGGCTGTGCCAGTATCTGGAGCCATGACTGGTGATCAGTCTGATGACTGTGCCAGTATCTGGAGCCATTACCGGTGACAAGCATGATGGCTGTGCCAGTATCTGGAGCCATGACTGGTGATCGGTCTGATGACTGTGCCAGTATCTGGAACCATGACTGGTGATCAGTCTGATGACTGTGCCAGTATGTGGAGCCATTACCGGTGACCAGCATGATGGCTGTGCAGGTATCTGGAGCCATGACTGGTAATCAGTATGATGACTGTGCCGGTATCTGGAGCCATGACTGGTGATCGGTCTGATGACTGTGCCAGTATCTGGAGCCATGACTGGTGATCGGTCTGATGAATGTGCCGGTATCTGGAGCCATGACTGGTGACCAGTCTGATGACTGTGCCGGTATCTGGAGCCATGAACCGTGACCAGCATGATGACTGTGCCGGTATCTGGAGCCATGACCCGTGACTAGAATGATGGCTGTGCCAGTATCTGGAGCCAGGACCGGTGATCAGTCTGATGACTGTGCTGGTCCTGGAGCCATTACCGGTGATCGGCCTGATGACTGTGCTGGTATCTGGAGCCATGACTGGTGACCAGCATGATGGCTGTGCAGGTATCTGGAGCCATGACTCAGGATCAGTCTGATGACTGTGCCAGTATCTGGAGCCATGACCCGTGACTAGCATGATGGCTGTGCCAGTATCTGTAGCCATGACTGGTGATCAGCCTGATGACTGTGCCGGTATCTGGAGCCATTACCGGTGATCAGCATGATGACTGTGCCGGTATCTGGAGCCAGAATTGCTGATCAGTCTGATGACTGTACCGGTATCTGGAGCCATGACTGGTGATCGGTCTGATGACTGTGCCGGTATCTGGAGCCATGACCGGTGATCAGCCTGATGACTGTGCCGCTATCTGGAGCCATTACCGGTGATCAGTTTGATGACTGTGCCGGTATCTGGAGCCATAATTGATGATCGGTCTGATGACTCTGCCGGTATCTGAAGCCATGACTGGTGATCGGTCTGATGACTGTGCCGGTATCTGGAGCCATAATTGGTGATCGGTCTGATGACTGTGCCGGTATCTGGAGCCATGACTGGTGATCAGTCTGATGACTGTGTCGGTATCTGGAGCCATCCTTCTCCTCCTTCCCTTCTCCCTCCCTTTGTAAAGGATTCAGGAAGTCCAGGAATTCGGCAGACAACAGAGGTGACCAGATTGGTGAGCTGCACCCAAAGATGCCGGAATCCGGCAAAGAAGGACTGAAGTAAGATTCATGAATAGTGAAGCAAACCCCAACAAACAACAGCAAACCGAACAGACACAAAAGAGAAGTGAATGGTAGCCAAGTGACAGGACAAGACTGGAGATGCCAGAGACAGTCAGGAGGAGGGAAGAAGGACTGGGATCAGGGACAAGGGGAGCAGACAGGAGGAAGCAGGGTACAGGATCATGCCGGGAATCGGGATCAGGAAACAGTCAGCAAGCAGGTATCTGGGAACAGGCAAACCACTGGAGCAAAGGAATGGGTTACATACCTTCCCAGCAGCCAGCATCAGGAGGAGCCTAATTACTGGAACCTGACACCTGCTTTTGGCCTCCGAAACTGCACCCTTCAGCTCTGAGAATCACAGTGCCACTAGCAGGTGATCCAGATCCTGACACCCTTCTTTTCCTTCTCCTCTCCCGTACCCCTCCTCCTTCTCCTCTCCCGTACCCCTCTTCCTTCTCCTCACCTATACCCCCTTTCCTTCTCCTCTCCCATACCCCTTTTCCTTCTCCTCTCCCATACTCCCTTTCCTTCTCCTCTCCCGTACCCCCCTTCTTTCTCCTCTCCCGTACTCCCCTTCCTTCTCCTCTCCCCGTACCCCTCTTTCTTTTCCTCTCCCGTACCCCCCTTCCTTCTCCTCTCCCATACCCATCTTCCTTCTCTCTCCCGTACCCCCCTTCCTTCTCTCCCGTACCCCCCTTCCTTCTCCTCTCCCCCGTACCCCCCTTCCTTCTCCTCACCCGTACTCCCCTTCCTTCTCCTCACCCGTACTCCCCTTCCTTCTCTCTCCGTACCCCTCTTCCTTCTCCTCTCCCGTACTCCCCTTCCTTCTCCTCTCCCGTACCCCCCTCTTCCATCTCCTCACCCGTACTCCCCTTCCTTCTCCTCTCCCCGTACTCCCCTTCCTTCTCCTCTCCCTTACCGCTCTTTCCTTCTCCTTCTCCTCTCCCTACCGCTCTTCCTTCTCCTCTCCCGTTCCCCTCTTCCATCTTCTTTCTTCCCTTCCTTCCCGTTCCCCTTCCTTCTCCTCTCTCTACCTCTCCCTTTCCCTTTCTTCTCTCCCGTACCACTCTTCCTTCTCCTCTCTCCCGTACCCCCCTTCCTTCTCCTCACCCGTACTCCCCTTCCTTCTCCTCTCTCACCCATACTCCCCTTCCTTCTCTTCCATTCGCTCCCCTTCCTTCTCCTCTCCCCGTACCTTCTTCCTTCTCCTCTCCCCTACCCCTCTTCCATCTTCTTTCCCTCCCTACTCTTCCCTTCCTTCTCTTCTCTCCCTCTCCCTTTCCTTCTCTCCCGTTCCACTCTTCCTTCTCCTCTCCCGTACCCCCCTTCCTTCTCCTCACCCGTCTCCCTTCCTTCTCCTCACCCGTACTCCCCTTCCTTCTCCACCCTTCCTTTACTCCTTCTTCCTTCTCTCCTCTCTCCCCCCTTCCTTTTCTTCTCTCTCCTCTCCTCTCCCCTTCCTTCTTCTCCTCCCTTACTCTTTCCCTTCCTTCTCCTCCCTTCTCTCTCACTCCCCTTCCTTCTCTCCCGTCCCCTCTTCCTCTCTCCTCTTCCTCTACTCCCTTCCTTCTCCTCTCCCCTACTTTCTCTTCCTTCTCCTCACCCTTTCTCCCTTCCTTCTCCTCTCCCCCTCTTCCCTTCTTTCTCCTCTCCCTTCCTCCCCTTCCTTCTCCCTCTTTTCCTTCCTCCTCCTTCTTTCCTTCTCCCTTTTCCCCTCTCTCTTCTCTTCTTCTCCTTTCCTTCCCTTCCTTCTCCTCTCCCTTCTCTTCTCTTCCTTTCTCCTCTCCTACTCCTTCTTCCTCTCCTCTCTCCCTCCTTTCTCTTTCCTTTTCTCCTCTCCCTCCCTCCCTCCCCCTCTTCTCTCTTCTTCTTTCTCTTCCCTTCCCACTCCCTCTTCCTTCTCCTCTCCCTACTCCTTTCCTTCTCTCTCTCCTCCTCTCTTCCTTCTCCTCTTCTCTCTTTCCCCCTCCTCTCCTCTCCCTCTCCCTCTTTTCTTCTCCTCCTTCCTTCCCTTTCTTCTCTCCCCTTCCTTCCTCCCTTCTCCTCTTCCTTTCTTCTTCCCTCTCTCTCTCCTTCCCCTCTTTCCTCTTCTACTCCTCTTTCCCTCCTCTTCTCCTCTTTCCTTCTCCTCTCTCTTCCCTTCTTCTCTCTCTCTCCCTCTCCTTCTCTTTCTCTCCTTCTTTCTCTCCTTCCTTTTCTTTCTCTCTTCCTCTTCCTCCTTCTTCTTCCTTCTCTCCCCTTTCTCCCCTTCCTTCCCTCCCCCTCTCTCTTCTCTTCTCTCTCCCGTTCTCCCCTTCTTCTCTCCTCTCTTCTACCTTCTTTTCTCCTTCCTTCTCCTCTCCCGTACTCCCCTTCCTCTTTCTCTCTTCCTTTCTTCTTCCCTTCTCTTCTCTCCTTACTCCCTCTTCCTTCTCCTCTCCCCCTCTCTCCCCTTTCCTTCTCTCCCGTACCCCTCTTCCTTCTCTCTCCCGTCCTCCCCTTCCTTCTCTCTCCCGTACTCTCTTCCTCTCTTTCCTCCTTCTCTTCCTTTTCCCCTTCCTTCTCCTCTTCCTCTCTCCTCTTCCTCTCTTCTCTCTCTCCCTTTCT